ACATTGCCACCCTCCGTCCTCTCACAGAAGAGGTACATGAAGAACGGCCTCAGATGATGCTCGCAGGGTCCAGGTTGGTTCATATTGAGAGAGGGGGTCCTTGCAGAATTACGGTCCTGAGCCCTTTAAGGCTTTGTAGGCTGGACCATAAGGCTGTAAGCCTGGACCATAAAGAAGGCTGATCGCCGAAGAATTGGTGCTTTTGAATTATGGTGCTGGAGGAGACTCTTGAGAGTCCCATGGACTGCAAGAAGATCAAACCTCTCCATTCTGAAGGAAATCAGCCCTGAGCGCTCACTGGAAGGACAGATCGTGAAGCTGAGACTCCAATACTTTGGCCACCTCATGAGAAGAGAAGACTCCCTGGAAAAGACCCTGATGTTGGGAAAGATGGAGGGCACAAGGAGAAGAGGATGACAGAGGACGAGATGGTGGGACAGTGTTCTCGAAGCTACCAGCATGAGTTTGACCAAACTGTGGGAGGCAGTGGAAGACAGGAGGGCCTGGCGTGCTCTGGTCCAGGGGGTCATGAAGAGTCGGACACGACTAAACGACTAAACAGCAACAACAAGGTCAAAACCAGAACTTTGAGTTGGGCTGGGAAACTACAGTGGATGCTTGATTTGCGAACGTGATCCGTGCAGGATGCACATTCGCAACCCGCAGCTGCACACGCGCGGGTTGCAATTTAGCGCTTCTGCGCATGCGTGACCGCCAAAACCCAGAAGTAACCCATTCCGGTACTTCCAGGTTTCAGCGGTCTGTAACCCAAAAAAACACAACCTGAAGCGTCTGTAACCCAAGGTGTGGCTGTAACTGGTAGCCAAGATTGGCAATATAAGCTGAAACCATTTTCTCCCAGTGACCAACCTGGCTGTTGAATTCTGCACTAGTTGAAGCTTCCAAACTGTCTTCAGAGGCAGCCCTATGTATAATGCATTGCAGTAATCTAACCCTGAGGTTCCCAGAGCATAGACAACAGTAGTTAGGCTATCCCTGTCCAGATTGGGACATAGCTGGGCCACCAGCCAAAACTGATGGAAGGCCCTCCATGCCACCTGAGGAAATGATCAAGAAGTATCTGCTCCTTCAGAGGGAATGTAATCCCGTCCAGAGCAAGCAACCTCCCAGTCAACAGTGGGAACCCCCCACCTAACAGTGTCTCCGTCTTCTCTGGACTGAGCTTCAGTTTATTGGCTCAGCAGGGACGGAGGAAAGAGGGTGCAGTGGGTGTGGTTTCCCTAGGTGTCACCACTGAGGGGGGTGACAAAATGACGGGCGGCACTCACCGCAGAGTGGCACTCACCGCAGGGCCTGCGGCGCACCTGAGCGACGCATCTCCCCTGGGAGAGATGCAGTGGCTTGGGCACACACAGGCTCCATGCTGTTAGAATTCCTGCTCCCTGATTGCAGTCATGGGATTGTTGTCTTTCACATGTCGGTGTATGTTTTGACTCCACAGAGTGGGAAGTGACGGAGACAAGATGTTTGTGTTACTGTGTTCCGTGAAGTGGGACTATTGTCCTTTGTTTTTTCTCTTTGCTGTCTGATGCTAGAGAGAGAGGGAGCCATGTTGCAGTGCTCCGTGTGTGTTGATATGAAAATAAAGTAGATTAGCCAAAATGCTGAGTTGCTGAGGTCTGTCACACAAGTTGTGAAGACTCTGCGGATCCCTAAGTGTGTCGATGTCTGTTGGCATCAGTCGCTGTGATGTTCCGGCTGAAGAAAGATTTTGAAGCTCCCGAACGACAGACCAGGAGGGAGAGAACATGCCAGTCGGGCATGTGTCTCTGCCAGGGTCCTACTTGAGTGTAGGACGAGCTCCTGACACACGCTGCCCAAACGGTCTGCCCGCTGCCTCCCCCCCAGCTGTAGGGCGGCTGAGTGGGAGAAGGCAGGCAGACCCCTTGAAGGCACTGCGGTGCATCCCACCCCTATGGGCGGCTTGCCCCACCCTCGCCCTGCCCCTATGGGCGGCTCACACCGCCCCAGGGCACACCATCCCAGGCGCCCGAGCAGCTTCCTCCGCCGCTGTAGCCCAGGCAGGTATCCCACAGACATCTGGTTGGCCACTGTAGGAACAGGTTGCTGGGCTAGATGGCCTGTCCCATGCAGAACAATGAAATTGAAAAACTACATAAAACATTCAAAAACCCCTAAAAACTCTGAAACCCTATTTTAAAATACACTATACTATAGAGACCCCTTATGCTGCATTTAGAACCAGAATTGCATTTGCGCAGAAACTGTTTCTCAGGCGGCTAGTCCTAGTCTTTATAGCCCTGTACCTTCTTCCAGAAGGCAGAAGCTGAAAGAGATCATTTCCAGGGTGCGTACTATCCTGCGCTATCTCTGCGGCTTTCTTATGGCACCTGGAAGCATAGATATGATCCAAGGTGGGAAGAGTGCACCCAATTATTCTCTCCTCAGTCTTTACAACCGTGGACAGCATTGTTTTTTCCCTGGCCGTGCAGCTCCCAAACCACACACACAGGCCATAAGTTAATACGCTCTCCACAGTGCAATGGTAAAATGCCATCAACAGGTCCTTTGAGAGATTTTTCCGGAGGATTCTTGTTCCATGCATGGATCACATATGTCTTAGGAACATAGGAAGGTGCATTGTACTGAGTCAGGTACTTGTCCACCTAGCTCACTGTTTTCCAAGGTTGACCCTGGGACCTTATGTCGTGCACGCAAAGCAGATCCTCCACCACTGAGCCACATCCTTTTTCTCAGTCAACTCCTCAGAGCTTCCAGAAGGAATAAAGGTAAAGGACGCGGGTGGCGCTGTGGTCTTAACCACTGAGCCTCTTGGGCTTGCCGATTGGAAGGTCAGCAGTTCGAATCTGCACAACGGGGTGAGCTCCCGCTGCTCTATCCTTGCTCCTCCCAACCTGGCAGTTCAAAAGCACACCAGTGCAAGTAGATAAATAGGTACTGCTGCAGCGGGAAGGTAAACGGCATTACCGTGTGCTCTGACACAATGTCCCGTTGCACCAGAAGCAGTTTAGTCCTGCTGGCCACATGACCCGGAAAGCTGTCTGTGGACAAACGCTGGCTCCCTCAGCCTGAAAGCGAGATGAGCGCCGCAACCCCATAGTCACCTTTGACTGGACTTAACCATCCAGGGGTCCTTTACCTTTTTTACCTTTTACCAGAAGGAATAAGCAAAGATGATGAAGAATAAACACCTGAATACCAGCACCCCGTGACAGTTGCTTTAGCACCTCTCTGCTCAGGGAGAAGAAATGTAAAAGCATTCAAGCAGTGTCTTAACTGCTTTCTGCCCTGCATGGCAGACACATTTCACGAGCAGTGAAGCCTCCCGTTCTCCCTCCCTTTGGATGTCAGTCTTGCTTCGTGTACGACTCATGAAATGGCCCTGTCACACTTGGGTGTTCCAATTTGAACAGGATCCAGCAGGTGCCGTTCTTTTATTCTGTCAAGCCGGTGCAACACTCAGGAACCAGGAGCTGCCAGGAGCTGTCGCTGAAGACGCCGTTGCTGTGAGCTCAAAGAAACCCATGAAGCTTTCAAGGGAAGCCTTTGGGTTGCGCTAATGTGCTCAATCTGAGAACAATCCTGAGGTGAGTAAAAGGTTACACAGAGTAATTGGGTTTGCGGCGCTTTCATGTGAAGGTGTCAGGAGTCCAGGTTCCCAGCTTGATAACATAGTAAGCGTAGGTAATTAAAAAGGAGGATTTATTGCAAAAACAAACAGATAGCTCCGGACGGCTCTGACAAAGCCTCCGGCATCATTACTCAAGATGACCCTTCTGAAGACTCCTTCCAGTGTCTACAGAATATACTGAACCTACGCCCCTTGTGCCTCTTGTTTTGCTTCCTGTCTAGCAGCCCTACCATTTGTTGACTCCTCAGACTTATTGGATCAAGTCCAGCCTCTTCCTTTTCCAATAGACTATCTCTGAGTCTATTCGCTCCTATTTGTGCTTCCTACAAGCTTTGTCTGTGTTCTAGCCTCTCATCTACTGCCTTATCAGCCTGCCCGTCAGGGTCAGGAAGAGCCGAAGTCTGCAGTTGCCGACTCTCCTGCCTAACATCTAATCCTCTCTCTTCCTGGCTGCTTCCTGCAGTTGGCTGCAAACCTTCACTTGGAGCTGGCTCATTCCTGACAGAAGGTATAGAGTCAGAAGGCTGTTTGTTCTTGGGAGATTGGGAATGGGACCATAAGAACATAATAGTCTGCCGGATCAGGTCAATGGCCTATCTAGTCCAGCATTCTGTACTCACAGTGGCCAACCAGATGCCTCTAGAATGTCCTAATGTCTTAGCAAGAACTAAGAGCAACAGCACCCTTCCAACCCTTGGTTCCTTGTAGTGTCTGGTATCTGGAGGCATAAGAACATAAGGAGAGCCTGTTGGATCAGGCCAGTGGACCATCTAGTCCAGCATCCTGCTCTCACAGTGGCCAACCAATGTAAAGCCCACAAGTAGGACTTGAGCACAACAGAAATTATCCCTTCCTGTGGTCTCCAGCAACTGGTATTCAGAAAAACTCCTGCCTCTGATGGTCAATGCTCATTGATAGCCTTCTCCTCCATGAGATGTGCTTGTGCTTCTGAAACAGTGCAATGGATTTCACCAGTCAGGGGTGCTGTGGTTGCAGATTTTCCTGCACTGGCAGGGGCTAGAGGACCTCTGAGTACCTTCCAAGTCTGTGCTCCTCTTTCCCTAACCAATCCCTAGCCTCTGCTGTGCACAGATACCACAGACAGTGGTCCAGTGCTAAGAGCAGGCATAGGCAAACTTGGCCCTCCAGATGTTTTGAGACTACAATTCCCATCATCCATGACCACTGGTCCTGTTAGCTAGGGATGATGGGAGTTGTAGTCCGAAAACATCTGGAGGGCCGAGTTTGCCTATGCCTGGCTAAGAGCCATCTCAGATTTTTGTTGCTGTTTAGTCGTTTAGTCGTGTCCGACTCTTTGTGACCCCCTGGACCAGAGCATGCCAGGTCCTCCTGTCTTCCACTGCCTCCCGCAGTTTGGTCAAACTCATGTTCATAGCTTCGAGAACACTGTCCCACCATCTCGTCCTCTGTCATCCCCTTCTCCTTGTGCCCTCCATCTTTCCCAACATCAGGGTCTTTTCCAGGGAGTCTTCTCTTCTCATGAGGCGGCCAAAGTATTGGAGCCTCAGCTTCAGGATCTGTCCTTCCAGTGAGCACTCAGGGCTGATTTCCTTCAGAATGGATAGGTTGGATCTTCTTGCAGTCCATGGGACTCTCAAGAGTCTCCTCAGCTCCAGAATTCAAAAGCATCCATTCTTTGGCGATCAGCCTTCTTTATGGTCCAGCGCTCACTTCCATACATCACTACTGGGAAAAGCAAAGCTTTAACTATAAGGACCTTTGTTGGCAAGGGGTCAGCAAAAGACGTCCATTTACTTGCACAGATATTTCTAACCTCCTGGATGCTGGGATCTTATTTTTAAGCAGATTTTTTTTGCAAACCAAGGCACTCTTTCTCCACCTTTCAAATGTAGATAATATTGCAAGAGGCCTGCTCTTGGGACCTTGAGCATCCGAAACAGCACAATGAATTTCCCTTATTTAGGCGGCCAATCAGGGATGCCAGTTTCCCACCACGAATGTGGGGGGGGGGACTATTAAGGGGCCAACCTGTCAGATCCTCTGCAAGAACGAACGCAGACAATTGCTGTCAAGTCCTTCCGGAAATAATGGAAGTCCTCCTGGTGTGCGTCTCTCCCTCTTAGCTTTGTGCCATGTTTTCTTAATCAATGGAATCACCCACTTGTAATTAACTTGGCAACATTGGCCTTGTCAACTGACCTTTCTGTTTGATGGAACAATTATAATTACATTGTCACTTCAGATTGGTTTAACAAACAACCAGAAAATGTTCCTTAATAAGCTGCCAGCAGCGAGATGGCAGTTTACGGCGGTTTAAAAGAATGCTTAATCTGAGTTAATTAATACAGTCTAATCTACCAGAACTAATGAAAACTTTCAGCAACGCTGGTAGGTTGCAGCCACCAGACTCGGCAAATGTGTCAAAGCATCAATGGCAAAGCGAGGAGGGGAAGCTATTACCATTGAAAGGGTTAAATGGTTGCTAAACAGATTCAAGAGAGCTGGGAGAAAAAAGCAAGCTTTTGAGGAAAGGCTGGAAGAAATACATGCATCCCATGGGCTAAAAAGAGACGTGGGTGGCGCTGTGGGTTAAACCACAGAGCCTAGGACTTGCTGATCAGAAGGTTGGCAGTTTGAATCCCCGCGATGGGGTGAGCTCCTGTTGCTCGGTCCCAGCTCCTGCCCACCTAGCAATTCAAAAGCACCTCAAAGTGCAAGTAGATAAATAGGTACCGCTCTGGCAGGAAAGTAAACAGCGTTTCCGTGTGCTGCTCTGATTCGCCAGAAGCGGCTTAGTCATGCTGGCCACATGACCCGGAAGCTGTACGCTGGCTCCCTCGGCCAATAAAGCGAGATGAGCGCCGCACCCCCAGAGTCAGCCACGACTGGGCCTAATGGTCAGGGGTTCCTTTACCTTTACCTTTACCTTTACCTTTACATGGGCTAAAAAAACCACAAATACATCAGCTCAGTGGGTTTTATATATATACACTTGAAAGGTGATACTATGTGTCAGGGGTTCAGAGAGAGAGGCACAGGGTAGGCAGGAGATGGAGAGCGAGGGGGAGGAATTCCAAGCCAGCGAGGAAGAGGATGACAATGACTCAAGGGATTCCATGAGTCTTTCCAGCGAATCAGAGGATTCCCAGAAGGGGGCGCCGGTGGTCAGGGCCAGGGGAGCCCCAGGGGGGAAGTGTCAGGAGCAGGGTGCCAGCGGAGGATCCCAAAGTGGCAGCTGGGCGTCAGGACCAGCCTCCCCACCAAAGTGCAGTGAAGAGGTGGAGTTTCCAGTGTGTCAGAGGAAGCAGCTCCAGCAGCAGAGAAAGGAGGGGGGTCAGAGCAAGCCGCCCTCCCGGAAGGGGAGGGAGCAGTGAAGGGAGTAGTGTAACTGTCAAAAGGAAAGTTAGAGGTTTGGCGCGCGCGCCTAGTTCAAATGTAGAGGCGCGCGGAAATGCAGGGAGTCCGGAGGAGGGGCCAGGTCCCAAAGCCCGCAGGAGGGGGGAAGAGCAGTCTGGGGATTCAGCGTCAGAGGAATCCAGAAGGGGCGCAACCCCAGGGGGCAGAAGGACCCTGCGGAAAAGGAAGGAGAGAAAGAGGTGGAGCAGCGCAAGTCTCTTAAATTGGTGCAGAGGAGGAACTGACTCAGAAGGGGACTTCGGCGGTCTAGCGTAAGAGACGTAAGGCTGCGCGCCTAGGATGTCAAGCAACCATGAACTGCAATAAACACCTTTGTATACAAGAAGACGTAGGCGTTGGTCTTTTGTGAGCTAAGACTTGAGGCAGCCTTGACAGTAAGTCCCCTTCTCAGAACAAAAACCGCAAAAATTTTTTTTTGCACAGCTCACGAAGTTTGGCAGCAATGACTACTGAGGAGCAGATAGCGTCCCTGCAAAACGCAGTCACCGAGCTCTCCACTGCCGTCGTGGTTTCTCAGAAGACAGTTGCAGAAGCAGAAGCGCGATGCCAGGATCTGCAAGCCAGGTGGGATCGGGCGTGCAGAGAGGGGTTCCCGGGGTCCAGATCAGAGGGAATCGGACTGGGACGAAGGGGGGGCAATTTAGTAGCCCACTTCGATGGGAACCTGAAGCATTATCCCAATTTCAGAGCAGACGTCGTATATGCACTGCATTTACTTCGAAAGGACTTCAAGGATGAGGAGGAAAAAGTGGGGTTCATTGTGTCGCACCTGCATGGGGAAGCAAGGAATTGGTTACGCAATTTATGGCGCGAAGATGGTCTTGCACGCAGGGACTCTGATGAATTTCTCAAAGCCATGGACGCTTGCTTCCAATCTACTGTTGACGTTGATGTGGCACGTCAGGAGATGCATGGATTGCGGCAGGGCAAGGCTACAGTGCGTCAGTACCATTCTCGCTTTTTTGCATTGCTGAATGTGCTGGGCTGGGAAAAGGACTCCCTGGCAGTGAGGGACTTGTTTTGGGAAGGGCTGCATGGCTCAGTGAAAGATGAGCTGGCTAGGGGAGACAGACCTCAAACCCTAGCAGACGTCGTGCAGAGGGCACTCACGATAGGGGTGCGCCAAGAAGACCGCCCTTGGCACAGGGAGGAGGGGCGTCACGTCCGCCCACCAGCTAGAGCGCCTCCTTTTCCTTCCAGGGACTTGGAACGTTCAAGCCTTTCGCCTGTCCTGGCAGCGACGGAAGAACCGATGGAACTGGGTGGTGCAAAGGCTCAGACAGCTGCCGGAGCCTCAGCGTCAGGAGCAGTCAAAGCGAAGCCTCCTAGAGGGACCAGGAAGTGTTACATCTGTGACAGTGCACGGCACATGGCTAAAGAGTGTCCCCAGAGGCTCCAGAAGCACACTGCAGCCTTAGCAACAGTAACAGGGGAAGCTTTCCAAGGGGAGCAGTTTCAGGGAAACGAGAATGCCTGGTTGGAGGGAGAGACGCTGGGGCTCCGCCAGGCAAGTCAATGAAGCAGTCCCCAGCGCTTTTGCAGCCTACAGACCCCTTACCACCTAAGCCAGTGGTGCAGCTCACTGCTACTCTCCAGCTGCCTAATGGACTCACCCTGGAAGTCCCCATTACGATTGACTCAGGGAGCAACGCAGACTTCGTGGGGGTGCAGTTCGTCAAGCAGCATCGCATAGCGCTACTACCAGCCACGCTGCCTCTGAATGTGGTCACTGTAGATGGCAGGAAGTTGCTGGGTGGGCAAGTGGTACAACAGACGCCAGCCATGCTGCTGAAAATTGGGAATCATCGCGAGGTCATCAGTTTCAATGTCACCCAACTGTCAGACACGCCCATAGTGCTAGGCATGAGTTGGCTGGATAGACACAGCCCATCCTTGGCGTGGTACCAGCGGCAGCTCACCTTTGGCTCGTCCTACTGTGCACAACATTGCATCCAGATTGGTGAGGACGAGGAGGGCCGGGAGGAAGGGCAACAGCTGCATCTAGGCATGGTGCAGGCAGTGCCCCACAAGTACAAGGGATTTTTGGAGGTCTTCTGCGAGAAGGAAGCTGACCAATTACCACCCCACAGGCCCTACGACTGTGCAATTGACCTCTTACCAGGGGCAACGCTGCCGACTGCGAAGCTGTATTCCATGTCTGAAGATGAGATGCAGGAGCTCAGGGAGTTCATAGATCACAATTTGAAGCGGGATTCATCCGAGAATCCAAGGCAGTGGGGGCAGTCCTGTGTTTTTCGTGAAGAAGAAGGACACGCCCCAAAAACGACTCATTGTGGACTATAGGGCCATAAACTCGATGACAAAACCCAAGGCTTTCCCCATGCCCAAGATTGACGACCTGCTCGCGACGGTGAGGAAGGGGAGGATCTTCACCAAGTTGGATCTACGCGGAGCCTACAATCTCATACGCATGAGGGAAGGTGACGAGTGGAAGACGGCCATGTTCACGCCGCTGGGCACCTATGAATACAGAGTTATGCCGTTTGGTCTCCAAAATGGCTCCCACTGTTTTCAAGCATTCATGCACCACGTGCTAGCAGGACTCCTCTACAAGAAGTGCGTATGCTTTCTCGACGATATTCTGATCTTCTCGGAATCGCAGGAGACTCACGAAAGAGACGTAAAGGAGGTCCTGCAGAGGCTACGGGAGCACAGACTCTACGCCAAGCTGGAGAAGTGCCAGTTCGACGTGACGGAGGTGGATTTCCTGGGCTACCGGCTGTCCGACAAGGGACTAGCCATGGACAGCGCCAAGGTCCGCGCGGTGTTGGACTGGAATAGCCCGCGCAATCGGAAGGAGGTCCAGAGGTTCGTCGGCTTCGCCAACTTTTACCGCAAGTTCATCAGGGGTTTCGCGAAAGAGACGGCAGCTATCACGGACACCCTCAGTTCCAAGAAGAAAAAGTTCACCTGGACGGACCAGGCGGAGCAGTCCTTCAGGAGACTTAAGAGTCTCTTCGCGTCCGAAGACCAGCTGCTACACGTGAATCCTGGCAGGCCCATGCGGGTTGAGACTGACGCATCTGACAGAGCAGTGGGGGCCGTCCTCTTGCAGGAAGATTCGCAAGGGAACTGGAGGCCCTGCGCTTTCTACTCCCGGAAGCTCAGCAAGTCGGAACAGAACTACACCATCTGGGACAGGGAGTTGTTGGCCATCCACGCGGCTTTCAAGGCGTGGCGGCACTTCCTCATCGGAGCCAAGCAC